TTGTGAGAATGACCCATATATATATTTTTACATTACATTAGCTGCATGTAATTTTGCTATTAAAATTAATATTTTCTTAAACTCCCTCAAACTTTGGTCAGGAAACAAAACAAAAAAATCCCAAAAAAGACATGTGAACTCTACAGATTAGTCTACAAATCTATCTCTAAAATAAATTTTTTACTATACACATCACAATTAATTATAATTATATATATATATTTAAGAAGTACAAGTACAATAAAAGTTTATTACTTTTCCTTTTGCATCAGGACATAAGGAGCGATGAAAAACTGATAAATCTGAATCTCCAAGAATATGATTACCAAGAAGAGCTGCAACTACACATATTCTACTAGGATGAAGATTCAAGCACCTGGTAACTTCATTTAAAATGTACTCTTTTGTTTCCAAACAACCCTACATATAAAATTTATATTTAATTACTTTATAATTAAATATTGATGCTGTAATACATAATAGATAGAAAAGAAAAATAGTTTTCACAACTCCTAAAAGAGAAAAACAAAGTTTGATTGAGCTATTTTGGCAAGAATTGAAGGGAGAAAAAAATCGTACCTGCATTTTCAAATAATCATTGGTTTGCAAGTTTACAGACACTTAGAAAATATGTTTTCACCCTGTGGCAGAATTTCTTAGAGCTATCTGCAACAAAACTCTCTAGCACTAATATCTTTCTGCAAGATACTTTCAATAATAACAAGCATATATGTTACTCATTTAAAATAACAAAAGCGCTGTGTTTACAAAATAATATATATAATTGTTTTGAATTGAAAATGTCATAATTTTTTAGTCTAATAGTATGGGAGATATCCTTGCATTTTGCTTGGGAGGAAAGCACAAATTGCTTCTTTCTTCGCATTTTGTAAATAATCAACACAATAAAAAATCAGTAGTTATTGTCGAAAAAAAGATCGACGACGAAATCACGCGAATCGGATTCTTCAAATGAGATTTTCCTTTTGAGATGATGTAGTTGTCATAAATAATATTGTATAAAAAATATCAGATTTAAAAACTATGGTGAAATCAATAGCAACAACTACCAAAAATTTGATAGAATTATTGCCTTAAAAAGTAAATACTCAAAAGCACGATTCCAATTTTCTATATATATCGAAATATTTCGGAATATTCGAATATCGAAATATTTAAAAAACTATGTGAAAATCAATATTAATAAATGCCGAAAATAGAGATTTAAATATTACCAGTAAATTTTTGCAGAGGAGAAAAGTAATTTTTTTTACATTTCAAAAGAAAAATCTTTCTGCAAGAACTCTGCAACGTTCTGCGACAATGTCACCGTGATTCTGCCACGGGGTGTTTTTGCATGTTAAATATTGTTTGCTACATAAATGCAAAACTGGACCTTTATCCATTACATCAAGGCACTCACAAAAGAAAAATAGAGAATATAGGTACAAACAGAACTGACTTGAAATACCAAAAGTACTAAAAACAATAAACACCTAATAAGAGTTACACATTAAAACATATAAATTACATAATTAAAAATAAAAAGGAAGATTTCCACCTCCTGATTTATGGCAAAATAATGGCAAAGTCTTAACAACTTCTGTGTAATTGTCTGACAAAATCTCAAAAAAATATCTCAGAAACTAACTAACTTGAATTATATAATTCATAGCCACCCCCGGGAAAACTTCTACTTGTTTTTTTTTTGTTTTTTTTCTTAAAAAAAATCCAAATTTAAAATAGATTTGGCATTTTGGCGATTGTAGTTAATGCGACAGATCATGATACAGAAATATCCCCAAACTAAAAATTACGAAAAAATTATAGTGAATGATACCCTAGAGTGCTCATGATATCAGAACATTGGACATAAAATACAGTTTGCAAACATATCCTCTATGCTGTAGATTTAGGTCAAGGTTATGTGTTGATTTAGTGTCTGCACTGCAAAAAAAAACATTAATTCAGAAGAATTCTACTTGTAAATTCACAAAGGCAAATTTCTTGGCATAAGTACCGATACATGGCTACCTATTTCTTTATAAAATTTTGCAAATTCAGAAAACTTTTTGGTACCTTGGAGATTGTATTGTGTGCAAATAGATATTGATAAAGATACTTCCAATATTTTTGGAACAAATAAAATTTCAATCAAAAAATGTTTCATGAATTAATGTGTGACCAAGGAGTCAGGGTTATAAACAATTTAGCTTTTTTAAACTGCATAAATATAAACATTTTTTAAAACAAATTTAAAAATCCAATACAAGCATGGGGATATTTTCGTGTTGTGTCAACTACAATCACTAAATGAATTTTAATCTTGGAGAATAAAGAGACTTGAATCTTTGAAAAACCCTGTTCACCGATGGATATATAACCTAACAGGGCTAAGTTAAAAAATAATACACTTCATTGCTCTCTCTCTCTCTAGGAGAGGTTACTTTCTTATCTCTGTGATAGTCGGACCCTATATATATATATTTTTTTAAATTTAGAGCTTTGCCCGGAGGTGGCAACAAGTTTTACCCTTTAAGACTGTGCTCTTCTGTGATATTTTTTATTTCGGATCTCACAGGCTACTAAATGTTTTTTAAATTTACATTTTTTACTCTTTTACGAATAAAGTAAAAGGAAATTAATAAAAACTTCCCTACCACAAAAAGTGTTTGACATACACAATTATTTACTTCAATTTGATTTCTCAATTTATTTAAATTGATCATGTATGTCATTGACAGGAAAAATTGGTGACATATGTCATACAATTTAAACTTGTTATTTTGAAGCTATTTTTTTCATGAAAGCATAATTTATATGAATTAGAACACTACTAGCCAAGCTGGTCATAAGTTTAAAACCTGGAACAATTTATTAAATATTATATAAACAATCTATATATATTATATAACTACATTCATGGCACCTTGACAGTTTAAATTGATAGCTTATTATAATATAAACTCTAATGAGAAATTTTTTGTTTAGTTTCACAGTTCGGAAATAATAATCGGACATTTCACATAAAAAAAATAGGATATCTAGGTTCAAATTCTAGAGAAGATTGACTAATGAATACAGCATGGAAGTAAACAAATAAAATATGTCCTCAAAATTCATATAAAATGAAGGAATGACAGCATGAGAAGCTATGAATTTAAATTGTTTTGTACACTTATCATGCTTTGAATACTTACCTTAAAGGTCAGTTTCAATTGTACTGATGAAAAATATCGATGAGGATCGAAAATGATGTATTCTGGGTCATCAGCTAGCAATCCATGATAGTTATATTTTTTTAAATATGAGATTACCTCTTGGTGATGATCAGTAGTAGTTAAAACAACATTAACTTTCAAATGTCGTAATAATATTCTCAAACAAGTACGAAGAGCGTTTGGCGCAACCCACCAGACTTTAGGAGGAGGCGTACCTTTACAAGCGGCATGTCTAAGAACTTGAGTTATTTTCTCCTTTTCAACTTTTTGTTTTTCAACCCACTTGGTCATTCTTTGTGGGTCTGATGTTCCATTAAAAAAAACTGTTATTTCAATATTACGTTTGTTGACTACTTGAAAGAATGTTCTAAGAAAATCTACCATTCTATTCCACTGTCCCCCGCACACCCAATCACCAAAATAACCACCATAAAGTCTATCTAAACAACATTCACCATCCATTACAAGACATAATGGACTGGGTATAACTTCATGGGGTTGGTATCTAAAATCATGTTCAACTCTAGGGCCTATATTTGACAACATAACATTTCTAGCTATTTTTACTAAATCCACCGGCACACAGGCACTTGGGCAGAAAGTCTCAATAAATCTTTGAAATGATTCAATTGTCATGATTGTAAAATATTTAGAAATTAATTGTCAAAAACAAATTTAAATGTTATACGCATAAGTAAAAACTTCTGTTAGCTGAATACGTTAAAAAATATGTAAATTTATTGTTTAACTTTTTCACTATACAACCCATTACTCCATGTGTTTTGTCACCGCAAAAAAATTGGTAAGAAAAGCGCTTGCGTCTGCAGCGCCAATGCCACCCCAAAAAGAAGTAAGTCGTAGTTTCGGTTTGTTTTAAAAATAAGAGCAGACAAGAACATGCCAAACACTTAAAATTTCAGGAACTATTGAGTTTTTTTAAATTTGTATTATGAAAAAATAAGTTGTGCTTTATTTAATAATTTGTTAAAAAGTTGCATATCGAAGTTTAATTGCGTCGAATTGACGAATTGCATCCAGAGACTGTTCTCTCTGGATGTGTTTCACGCACCTCCGAGGAAGTAGAAACTGGTTAGTTTTTTGCGAAGAAATATATTTCACCCCCCCACACCCCCAATAGAGGAGCAACATAAAACAAAATCACTTGAGCAAGGAGACATCACTGTGAGCTTTAACATCACTGGTGTAGTATTTTATTCCAACTTGATATCTACGGTCTCCAGTGAACGTGTAGGTAACACAGGTGCTTTGACAGATGTTGGGCTACCAACCCAGACATCAATATAAGGTTTTTTCAACACAACAAAAATCTTTTCATGCAAACCTAAAAAGGGTTTTTTACACGGTTTACGTGTAAACCTTCTAACCTTAAAACGAGGTCTGCGACAATTTGCTCTATTCTACGCACATTACCCTAATCCAAAACCTTGGAAAACAACCTTCAACATAACAACCTTAAAACGAGGTTGTCTTAGGGTTCTCAAGCGGGAAAAAAAAACTTGAATAAAGCTAGTTCTAAGATGAAAATCATCTTAAATCTACATAATTATAAGGTTTCCGTTTGCAGCGTTTTCGTATGCTCAGCTAAAATCTATCCTGTCATAAGATTTTCATTGACAATGCAATTTAATGCTATTGCTAGTGTACGTTGGGTAAAACGTCATTCTGATGTCATCTTTGATGTCATCTCTCCCACGATTGCATGACGGCGCGTTTCATTATTTGTTTTATATTTTACTTCTTATAGCTTTCCCAGTCCGAGGAAAATTCTCCTTTCCATCAATTTTGCTTGATTTTGGGGGAAATAGTCGTTTTTTATCAGTCTGACTTACTTTGATGTAGGAAAATTGATTTACAAGTTAAAATATCGTTTAATATGAAATTTTTTATTTTATTTAATGATTTGATTGATAAAAACACAAAATAAATAGAGTATATGTAATACTCAAGTCCCGCAGTGGAC